TGACCACACAGAGTGACTCAAACCCCTGCTCCTGAGGTGGAGGCAAGCCAGGATATATTGCTGTATCCTACCTTGCCCTCTTGCCCTCATTCCTGTCGTGGAAGGGAGATGTGGATTAGTGGGGAACACATCACCAAGGTCTATGTACTTCTTCCAGTCCTTGGCTATGTGGTCAGGAAACTGACCTCTACTCCTTTATGAGATTAGTATGATTTGTGGTGCAAAAATCGGAAATATTCATGTCTTTTTCTGTTAAGTGAGAGTGTGGAGGTTGCAGCTATGCAGCTGATGCTGGAAGGTTTAATTTCTGAGTGGTGATAAGCCTGACCAGTGGCCAGAAAGGGCCCAGGGGGTCAGAGCTGCAGGAGCATTTGTTTCCTTGTTGTAAGGAATTGCTTAAAGAGGCAGTGGCTGTTCTTTTAAGGAAAGGATGAAGCTGGATGCATAGTCTGCACTGTCCCGACGTGCTGTGTATGGAACATGTGCATCTTTAAATATTTTTTAAGCTTTTGCATGGGAAGGAAAAATACTTGGTGCATATTGGCATTTCTGACCTTCTAGCAATTCCCTAATCCTTCAGGGGGGTCACTTTTTACCTTTTTAGGTGTTTTGATTTTTGTAGTTGGTCCCTTGTTCATTTGAGATGATGTAAGATTCAGTGTAGCTCTGAAATTTAGTTTTCTGGTTTTGTTTTCTCCAATTTATTTCTTCCATCTTTGTTTGAGGACCTGTTTTGGTGTCAGTGACTCTGCTGCCTTAATCATCTGTACCCTTCCTTCATGAGACCAGATTTTAAGGGTTTACCTCTGCCACCTGCCATCAGTCTCAATGGCTGGTGCTGTTTTACCTATGATAAATAGTTAAGGTTCAGACTCATCCTTTGTGTAGTCCTCACGACTGCTTTGCTATGAAATGCCATTACAGTGGTTACTGGTGAAGGACATTTTAAGACTCCCACAGAAGACCAGTGCCCTGGTTGTAGATGGTTGGTAATTTGAAATGTTTTATATTTCCTCTTCCAGATGATAGTATTTTGCCTACAGGGATAAACGATGCCTTCTGCTTGTCATGTGTGTTACAGGATTGAATGCTATGTGTTTTATGTGTTGAGACAGAACCTCATTAAAATTCAAGTTTTACTGAGCAGCATTGATCTCATCTGTTTACAATAACAAGTAATTGTACATAAAACTGTTAATTATCAGGAAACTGCGGTGTATGCCTTTAGTACTTGATACGATTCCCATATTTTACTTGATTATATGGGTTGAATAACAGTTGCACAATCAGAGTTTCTAATCAGAGCTGGAAAGCAGAGTCTTCTTTGCTTTGTTAAGTCTTGGTTGATGAACTGTTTTTTTTCAAAACTACTTTGGTTTGGGTCTGGTTTTTTGATAAGGTTTCACGTTGTTTTTCAGGTATTTTATGAAGCTTTAGAACATAAATGTGTGTGTTTTATTTCTCCTCTTTGAAAAGTCAGCCAATTTTAAAGGAATTTCACACCTCTGACTAATAAATGAAGCTACACTTTTGAACTTGTAAACACATGTATACATAACTTTATGTTTGAATAAGATGCTCTGCTAAACTCCAGTAAGAATGTTACTGTCAGCAAACTTTTTTTATGAACAGGTTTGTTCCCAGGGCTGGAGTCAGTGGTAAGCGGATCGGCAGGGACAAATGACGATGTGCCAGCCCTGCCTGCTGGGTTTGGAGGCTGCCACCATTGGGCACTGCACACTGGGGTGCTGAGGTGTTTGGTCTGCAGTGCTTGTTCTCTTAGGTACAGCTGCCATACAGGTTAGGAAGGACTGCCCTGTGTTGCTGCTTTTGCTGGCCAATGCCCTCATGTTGTGATTCAGCCCTTTATTTTTAGCTGCCTAATTGCAGCCAAGTGCTGCACAGAACACAGATAAGGGAACGCATTTTAACATGAAAATCACAGTAATATATTGGGCAAAAATATTCTCTTTTTTTTTTTTTCCCTTGAGAATTGAAAGTAACTGAGAGATCATTACAAATTTATTTATTTATTTATTTATTTATTTACAAAGGCCTTGTTCTCACATTTAAATCTTTTGGAAAAAAAACGCACATGAAAAAGCAAAACATAATGATCATGACAGGATGAGTATTCAAGCTTCTCCACGTGGCAGAGATAATTAAGAATTTTTAATAATATATAAGATTGTTTTGATTATGGAAGGCTAATCTCATTTTCAGAAGAAAGTTTCAGGCATTTCTTACTGTGGGAATAAGCTTGAATGGCATGGAAAGGAAACGTAGCCCCCAATTAGCATCCTTTAAAATAATGAAAAGAGTAATCAAATCCCAGTTTTCCCACATACAAAAATTGTCCCCCATTCTTCTGACTGAAAACTGCTCTGTGCAAAGAAGCAGGTGTAAAACTGACTCTGCCTACAATCTGCAGCCACAGCTTGCCATCATGTCAACAGGTTTTTTGTGTTTAAAGTTAGTATGTTGCTCATGCTTCTGAAAAGTTTTCACTTTAGAGCAGTAGAACAAAAATATGCATGTTGCTGTGCACAAAAAACCTCCTCAAACTGAAAAATCAAGGTGAGTTTTAGCCTGAGCCGCATTTCTGTGGTGTTGCCAGAAATAAATGCTTTTAGTCATTGCAGCACAGATATAAAGCACACCTCTCTATCTGTGCTTGTAACATATTCTTTTTCTGCTCTTATTTGTTTTATCCTCATCACTCTAGACTCAGTCCCTCTTTTGCCTCATAATTCTTTTGTGTTAGCAAACCGAGCACTGTGATACTTTAAATAAAATAAATGTTGTAGAAACTGGAGACAAATACAAAATGTGTGACTGTGAGAGAGAATATGTGTACATGTTTTTAATTATCTCCTTGTGAATTACACAATATTGTACTGTACACTATTAATGAAATTTTCTAGATAGTGTGGTCTTCATGTAGATGCTTTATATGCTTGAGCTTCTTTGTGAATGTTAGAAATTGTTTATTTTTTCATAAGTGTATTTTTATATTCTTCCACAAAAGTTGTAGGAAAGGAATTCAGAATATTTGTGTGTAACCCTAGACAATTAACTCAATGGGAACCATTCGGAACAGGTAAATTTAAAGATGTTGTTATATTTGAAGAATACTGCTGTCAGAGATATTTTTATGTATTTTAGGTACTTTGATATTATATTAGGTGGAATATTATGTTAATTGTATTATACTGGGTGAAAAAAGATTGTTCTGGTAGAACTGTCTATTATAACTGGAAAATATTTTTAATAATTTGCTAGTAACAGTGGTTCCAATCTACTTATTACTCTTATTGATTGAGGAAGATCTTTTCATTGCCAGCAAGTTCTTCAGTTATAAAAGTTTCCTTTTAGAAATGCAACCATGTAAAACTATTCCTGATTGAAATTTAATTTTATATTTTGAGACCTGCTGGTTTACAGTCCTAGACTCATCAGATAGTCCTGTTTTCACCCCCATAATCTTCAACATGCTGATTTTTGTATAGTTCTGTCCTAACCAGCATGCTTAGAACCAATTTGGGTGCCATTCAGAAATTTCTTGCAAGATTTTGCAGTTTTGACAAAAAATCATATGAGCTTGGCAAAATGTCTTTCCCATGAATCTGTTTCTTGTGGGATACAACATTGCTTTTTTTGTAGTCATTGTTAGGTTAGTGAGATAACAGATACTGATTTTGCTGAGTGAGTGTCCGGCCCACAGAACTGCTATTCCTCGAGTCATCCTTCCTAAAAGATTGGTGCATTAGATTCCATCAAGTGCTCCAAACTCAACCAGTATCAACACAGTTACAGTTTGAGATTGTTCTCTAGCATCTGGTGGAGGCAAGGTACATGGATGTGCCAAAAGACCTGAAGTTAGCAGCGGCTATCTGTAGTCCTCCTCAGTCTTAGACTGCAAAATATTTAATCTCACTTACTGTATGTGTTACTGCTAAGAACATCACTCACATTTTGGAGACATGATATTAAAAATCTGCCAGTATGAGATTTTAAGTGTTTCAGCCTGCGCTGGAGCCCTCTCTTCCCTACCACGAGAATCAGTAAGCTCAAGCCCAAAGCTCTGAAGGCTGCACAGCCCAGAGGTGGTGTCATGGCAGAGTTTACAGTCTACACAGTTTGCACTCATACAGAAATATGGTTGCAAATAACATAGTTTTGAACTATTTCTTTTTTTTCCTTGTAATTTAATGTAAAAATATTTATTGATGACCCATTTTTAATGCACAAAACAAATTACTTTTTGTGGACACATGCATGCATTTGCTTTGTTTCTAAATCATTATTTTCTGTGTTTCCAAACCACAGTTTTAAAGTTTTTTTTTCAGCCAACCATATCTTTCTACTCATGTCTCTTTAAATTCTTAGTAGATGAAAGCAGATTAAAGATGCCTTGCTTTTTAGTAGCATATTACCCCTTTCCCAGTTACACATATAGTCCTTTTTTATTGTTATACTGCTTTTACTTTCTTGAAATTATTGTAAAGAATTATTATTGTAAAATCTCCCTCAGTTTTAAGATTGTATCAACAAGTTGTTTGTCACTTCTTGCTGTTAAAGGTTCCCTCAGCTGACTTGGCTCATAGCTGTGATGTACTGGAGTCTGCTCCAGTACCTCCTCTCCTGCCTTGTTTATTTAAACTAGCTGCACAACAAACTGTACTTGTTAATCACTGTGACTTAGGTAAATAATGTTACATCTATGTGAGTCTATAAATACGTTTTTGAACCAAATGTGAAAAAAAACCCAACAACAACAAAACATTTAGGGCTCAATTGACCAAGCCTGGTGAGCAGTTCACATACATCCCATCAGTTACTTACTGAATATGTGCTTATTGATTGACACAAAGCTGATAATCTGAATCCCTGCTAACCTAGGAGACACTGGAAGCTTTCTGTGCAACACAAACTAATGCTGTAATGCTGTTTCTCTAATCTGTTGGTTTGTTTTTTTTTTTTTTTTTTTTTTTTTACAGTCCTATGGTAAAGGGGCAAGAAGAAAAAACCGATTTAAAGGCTCAGATGGGAGTACATCTTCTGACACTACCTCCAACAGTTTTGTACGCCAGGTATGGGTTTTCAGTTTCTGAAAGATTGAATGGCTTGCTGGTGTAAATGTTCAAAATATAATTTTTAATTTATTTTTTGTAAGTTGTCAACTCAGACTGATGCTGTAGTCTGAGAAATAGCAGAAGTCTCTTCTGGCACAATGAAAAATATTTGGTTGCTATTGTTTTGATCTTGGCATAAAAATACTTTTTCTTTTCTCATTCCTTTCCATGTATAGTAGTTACCCTTATTTTTGTTACTCTAATGCTATCAGGTGATTAAAGCTGGAGGAGGAGGCAGAGTCTGATAGAATTGCCTGAAGTGGCAACATTTGGAAGAAAGAATCAAACCCCTACCAATCCTTAGGGTTTTCCTGCTTAAAATAGTGCTGCATGAAGCAGTGTTAACCTAGATGCTTTCCTCCCACATCCCACTGTTATTTTAGGCATGGGTTGGAGGGGAAATCCTTGGCAGCATTTGTCCCCGTTGCACTGATGCTGGAAGGAGCCTGTAGAAGATGGGGTGGTGGTGTAGGCTTCTGTGCCCTGGTGTCTGTGTGTCTGCTTCCAAGGGAGAGGTCCTGGTGGAACCCATGGTGATCCCAGACCAGTGTGGGTGCTCGCAGGACAGCTCATTCTGGCCAACAGAAGGTGGCTGGAAGCGTGTCCAGAGCCCAGGGTGGCTCTGGTGCTACTGAGACTGTGCTTCTGAGGAAGGAGGGTGCGTGTCAGTGACGTGTGGTTGACAGCTAGGAGAGCAGAAATGGTACCCAGAGCACCAAAGTGGCTGAGCCTGTGCAGTCTGAAACACAGCTCTTCATGCCCAGCTGATTCAAGCCATGGTATCTTCAGTGCAGACTTGGCCATCTTTTTCAGAGAGGTTCTGGAATTTGGGAACTTTCATAGCAGAGTTTTGGGGGCTTTTTTTACCATAAGCAGGCATCACGCCTCCTTCTCTGCTGGCTTGTTCTGCATGTCCCTTCATCCCAAATTATTTAATGACTCCATTGATGTTGCATTGATTATATCAGTACACATCTCCTGTATACAAAATTTTTTGACTTTGTCCTGCTGTGATTGTGTTGGTAGGTTTTGTGGTAGGCTGTGTATTTGATAAAGTCAGACCCTTGTTACATTTCACTTTCTGTTGGACCCAGATATGAAATATGAATTGATCATGGGAGTTTTCAGCAGCAGTATACTATATCAAGGTGGAAACCCTGGATCACGTAAATTACTTGTTTGGGACATTTTGTCCTGTCTTAAAGTACAGTGAGTCTAAGCAGTGTTTGAGAGTAGCAACAGAATCTCCCAGTTCCAAGGAATCTTTGTAAGGAATTCTTTGTTGCTGTTTTCCTTAGCTCTTTGTGGATGTTCAATTCAGCCTGGAACATTTTTAGCAGAGTATGAGTGTTTATTTTACACCAGCTGCACATGCTTCTTTGCCTTTCTTGTTTACCTAAATGAAATCTGAAGTTGGTCTCAAGTATCTCCTCTTGCTTGTTTTGTGATGGTGAGGAGCAGGGCAAAGAGGATCCACAAGGAGGGGGATCATCAAACCAAGCAGTGATGTTGAAGTGGAGATCTGGTTGTCTCTACAGAGTGTGAGGCATGATTTATCAAACCTCCAGACCTACCATAGGAAGCAGATTTGGTGAGCTGTAGACTGTGTGTCTATTTCTTTCTGAGGGCTTTAAAGGGAGTGTGACTTCAAGTGTAGATTTTTACAGAAGAGATTTATATATTTCCATGAAATAAAATTTAGTAGTTACTCAAGTGGTGTAATACAAATGATTGAAAAGTGAGTAGCTTCTGTGAAAAATTAGAGATGTCATAGATTGCTAAAGCAAAACTCAGCTTTGTAATTGTATTGTCACTGAAGATAATGAAGGGATGTTAATGGATAAGTTAATTAGTGAATACATTTGACAATTAATGAATTAATTTAATATTACATTAAATTGTCCAGAGTAAATTTTTAAAAAATCCCCACAAAACACTCCTACCAAGTAATGTGCAGGCAGAGCCGTTCAAGTTGTAGCAGATGTAGGAGAGAAATAAATGCTTCTTCACAGTTGCTGCTGAGACGTTTATGTCAGAGCTTGGATTCCATGTTCAACAGGTTTTCCTGCTCTGATTCCTCTCCTGGGACAGCTTGGTTTCTCTTACACTAAGGAAGAGTTACCACCAACATGACCAGGGTGCCCAGTGTTCCAGATATTAAACAGAATGGGGGCAGAGTTTTCCGCTTGCTCAGCTGCTGTACCCTTCCCAGAAACTCTCTTTGTATACATATTGTTTATCTCCAGGTATCTTGCAGGATATTTTACATGGTGTAAATGAACATAATTGTTTTGCAATAGCCATTTATTTGCAGGAAAAAATATAAATCCATTAATTTTGTCTTTTTCTAAGATGGATGATAATTGCAGAAAAACAGGGCAGACAAATGAATTTAAACCCTTTAGAGTCAGTGATGTACCATTCATTTCCTGTTATTTTATTTTAGTGCTGTATTAAAATCAAGAAATAAGCTCTTGCTTAAAAATGAATTTGTGGGGTTGTTAATGGCGGTTTTGATCTAGACATAGGATACACAACCTGTTTGTTCCAGCAGTGCTTATGATGCCCATAGCTGCCTTTTGTTTCTCCAACCTCATTTCCCTCCATCAGTTCCCGCTTCCTTTCCCATTTAATTTTTAACTTCTCTTGCCACTTTTATGTGCATCTCTACAAGTACTTCCCTCTGCACTGAAGAAGGAGTCCTGGGGTTGTCCTGAACATTTATCACCAGGATCTGTCTGTATTCCTCATAAGGAAGAAGAAATGTTTGGAAGGTGCTTTTGTGGGATATTTAGCTGGCGTATCCTTAAGCCAAGGGGAGCTGTGAGAGGTGTGCAGGTTCTTGCCATAAGCATCAATAGAAAGTAGTAGTTCCTAACACAGAAATATATTGTTGCTGGATAAAAGAAGACAAATACATTAGTCCTAAGGAAATGTCATGCACATGGAAGGCAATTGAGGTATTTGGCAGGAGCAAGGATATAGGATTCAGTCTTTTGAATTCACAGAGCTGCTGGGCATTTAAGGAGGGCTGCAGGAGGGAGGGACGGACTTCATGTTTATTGTTAACATTGATGAACTTTGTTGTCTGGGTTTTAATATTTCCTTAAGGACATATGCCTCTCTTGCTCCAATATATTTACCTGGCAGGTTTCCTGCTATGCACACCACATGTTACAGTAATAAAAGTAATGCCAACATTGTACTCTTTCCTTCAAATGCAACTAAGTAATGTTCAAATTGCTTGTAAACTCTGCTGCTGTATAAGAAGAATGAAATGTGGCCTGCAGAGCCCTGTGTGCAATGATCTTTTCCATTTAAATCTGTTTTGTGGAGTGCTGAAATAGAGCAGAGCAATCTATCCAGTATTGTTTCTGATGCGTATAAAAGAAGATTTAAACTGGAGCAAGAGCATCTGTATATAATATACAAATTAAGCCCCCATTCTTTTCAGTCCAGTTAGAGCTCCTCTGTGCTGTGAATTTTATGTATTGATACAGATTTTTATTATAATTTTTACTTGTGACACTATAATATGTATGAGATTTTAGGGGAATGTTTGGATCATGTTCTGTTTGTTTGTTACCAAAAAAATGTTTGTTTAGTTTTGTCTCCAGTTTGTTATTGATGATATTTGAGCTTAAAAAAATAACAACAATTTGGCCTTCTTTTTATTTGCTAGCAACAACTGCTTGTCTTTTTAATAGCAGGAGAGGGAATTTTTTTTTTTTCTCTCTGTTTTCTTGTGAAGTTGTATTGGCAATTAAGCTGTGTATTTGGAAAGCAGAAGCATCATTGCACACCAATCAGCTCCTAACTGAATGTAATAATGTCTTTAGGGAACCAAAGGACATTGTGTTATATAGTTTTCATCATCTTTTTTGAGCTTTGGAGTGATAAGCAGCTTGTTCTTAGGGTTAGTTATGAAAGACTGAATTGGATTTGAGCTCTAGTTGTTGCCATTTTGACTGATGGTTGGTAATGATTTTGTTCCCAAGGGTTTCTTCAAAATACAGATCAGACAACGTGTTTTGCACACAACACTATGGCACTTCCCAGGAACATTATTTTAAGCAAATTGCATGTTCTGATAGCATTACATATTTTGTGGTTGTGCTTCTGGACCTGTCTTTGTCAAGGTTTTATTTTAAATCATAATGATTAATCAGAGAGGCAGGCTAAGTTGTTGGGATTTTTATGTATTGCAAAGGCAGATTAGATTGTGAAATAGGCTGTTGTCTATGGACTGGCTTACAGAAATATTTAAGGATTTACAAATCTGGTTTTTTTTTCCTTTAAATATTGGCTTGATGCCTGTTATGCTGTGTTCACTCAAAAACACAGCTATAAATAATTATGTAGGAAATTCATTATTCTTCTGCTTTCCTCTAAGGACTTTTGCCTAGCTGTGTAATTACCTATTGAATTTTATGAATGGTAAAACTAAGATTTGCTCTAAAAACCAATTTGAAAATATTGACTTAGTTTTGCTCATAAACATGCCTCTTAATCTTGATTTCACCAGAGAACTGGGCTGTGTCAGAAATGTATTCCTCTTGTTTTAATTGCCTTTTTTCTTTCAGATGTAGAGCTTAGCTTTGATTTTTAATTTTTTTGCCTTTTCATGAGGGGAAGAGCTTATGTATTCAGCTCACAGATGCAGCCTGCCAGTGAGGCTATGCATTTACAGGCTGAGCCACAAAGAACTGGTGCAGAGTGGGCAAAGATATTAGCTTTGGTCTTCATGCCCAGTACTAACAAGCTTAGGCTGAAAACCTGTCTGTGTTTAACCTGCTAGGACTATTCCTGCTTCTTGAAGACTATATGTGAACAAGATTGTGGCCAGCCAGAAAATCTAAATAAATAAGTACAAATAGGGCTCACTTGCCTATTAATATATTCTTACATCCTTTGTGGGCCTCGAATTATGAGACATGTTTTGCTTGTAGAGAGAAAAA